TAGCTGCCATTATCAATGAGACATGGCTAATGAGATGTCATGTATCACTGGGCACTTTTAAGTGGGTATATTGAAATTCTTAAGCTTTTCTAGTGGGTATACTCCATATACCCGGGTATTGTGTAGACTACAACACTGGTTCGAGGTCAGTAAGCACAACCAGAATTAATGCATAAGACACACTGGATTATAAGGCTCACTGTTGATTTTTGAGAAAATTAAAGGATATTAAGTACACCTTATATTCTGAAAAATACGGTACTAATATTTGATGATTACAGTCACGGCCCATCAGTGGCTGTAAAGATGTAAAAACATAATTTGTACCTTACAGAAAACAGAGGTGAGGCATTTAAGACAGACTGAATCTTAACTCAATACAGTTAAATCATTAATGTAACCCAGATTCAGTCAGTAGCTTCCTGGTCCTACTCTTGTGGATCTTGTTGTGTGCTTTGATATAAATGTGTCACAAGAGCAAAAGACTAATTTTACTTCTTATTTTGACATTTTTGTGGTGAAAATTTAAATTTAAAGCCATAGAGCCATATCTTTTTTACTCATTACAGTAAAAGCACCATCGATCTAAAAGTTAGTTGGAGGAGTGATGAGCGAAGGAGTTACTAACATGAGACCCCACTGGTGTCAAAGTTTGTGTTTACCGTACTTTCCGCCGTACATGTCGCTTCGCCCTATACGTCGCATCTATGTGTCACCGCTGACACATCACGTTTGTTATGAGTCACTGCTGACCACCCAAAAATGTGGGCTGGTGTTGTGCCAAAAATTGATTGGCTGCCAAATGGTGGCTGCTGGAGCGTGCACGGGCGGAATTTAACAAAAAACATTTAACAAGATCAACACTTAAAAACAATTATTTGTTTGCTTGAAATTATAGCAAAGGTGTGTCTCAGTTTAACTTTTCCTTAATAAATGCACTTTATCAGTTGCATTTCGCCTTGACGTTTGCTCCAGGAGTTCCGAAGCGAGACGAAGGAGGCTTGGTACGGCAAGCCAAGTGTCTCATTAATTTACCTATTAATGAGACAATTGGCTTGCCATATACCTCGAAGGCCCTCTAGTGGCTAAAAATGGTAGTGTTCAATATTTTC